AGAGCCCGTCCCGCCTGCCGGGGGGTCCGGCGGAGGTGCTGCCCCCGACACCGGCCTCCAGGGGCTGCTTCCCGAAACCCAGAATGTTAGGCAGCCCCGGGGTAAGAGCAAGCTCTTAAAAGCCGGGGAGACCCCCGCTTTAATTCCCTTCGAGCGACAGACCACCTGCGGGTCCCTTGGGGGTAACCCGCCGCTCTGTGCCGCACTTCACGGCGCGCACCAAAGGAGAACGGCATCGCTCTGCTATGCGGGGCGCTGGCAGGGCATCGTCCCAAACTGGACGTCTCCTTGCTGCCCTGGGAGCAGCATGGGCTGGGCTGACCCTGCCTCGCTGCAAGGCACCAACCAAGGTGCCAAAGTCTCAATGGGAAGAAACAAGGACAGTGAACCTCGGGAGGGCCAGCAGGCAGAGCCACGCACCCTACAGCCACCAGCATGGCCCGAGACCACCCAAAAACCTCCAAGCATTAGGAGACAATCCTTAATTTTGGCTGTCCCCCTCCCCAAACTCTCCGCAGCTTCGCTCACCATCTCCACGGGAGCGGGGCAGCAGTGGAATTTCCAGTAGAAGGGCAGTCCTGACAGCATGCTCTTCACATGCAGGCTGAGGCCACCAGCAGTGTGGTGGCAGGAGAAGGAGGTGGTGGTGTCCAACTGCCCTGCCATCAAGGGGGACATCAAGTCACACAAGTGGTGCAGGAAGGAGGACACGTGGACCGTCAGCCGCTTGTTCAGCTCCTGGGGAAAGGCAAGGTTATGGTTACAGCAACACCCCGGGGAGCTTGGCACTGGGAAAAAAGCAGCAGAAATACCAGCACAGAAGGAACCAAACTACTTCTGTGTGTCCCAGCACTGCAAAAAGCCATCCCTGGGCCTCAGATTCCAGCCCCGTGACAAGACATTCCCCACCAGTTCTCCCAGACCAGCTGAGCTGGGAAGGCTTCCCTGCCCCGCCAGCCCAGGAGGGTCCGCGTGGTGGGCAGGGTGCAACGGTCTCCACTAGCACATCTGCCCCGCATGCCACCACGGGTGTCACAGGCTGGCCGAGAGCTGTCACAGCTCAGCTAACCTGCCAGAGCTGGGGGATGGCTGCCACCGCATGCCCACCCCTCCTGCCACCAGCTGCTCAGCACAGCTACTCCATGACAGAGGGTCCTGGCAGGCAGGGGTGGCACGTGGGGGCCTGGGCACACGTGCTAGGGTGAGAGGATGAGCCATGGCCCCATATGGTTTGGGGGACGTGCTGACAGGACACCCCATGGAAGCCTGTGCCTGGCTATGAATGTGAACAGGATTCTCTCCATCACTGGTGGGAAGGCAGCTGTGTTTCAAGCTCCTCCTTAGTACACTGGTCCTAGAGAAACCAGCTGCCCATCCAGCCCACAAGTGAAACAAGTGTGCCAGCCTCAGCACGCAGCCCCAGGGGACATGTGGCTACTCTGGGCATGCCAAATAGCCTGGCCCACTCTCCTGGGAGGAGGGTGCTCAGCCAACCGGGGTGACAGTGCTTGGGCAGAATCACCCGGGGACTTCCCAAGCCGAGTATTTGCACTCAAACCCTGTCGGATCCAATGGCCATTGTGTCACCAAGCAGTTTATGCTGGGACATGAGCTGCTGCGAGGAGAAAAGGAGGTCTCTGGACTTTCCAGACACTCACCTTGGACCTTTGTCCCACAGCCTCGGCGTCTGCACTCTCGTACCAGACGCTGCTGAGGTCGGAGATCAGCAGGATGTAGCCAGTATCCCTGAAGCACACTTTGGCAAGAAAAGCGGATTCGCCAAAGCAAACAGAAGCCCAGGGCTTTGTCAGAAGGCTGCTCTCCAGCTCCTCGGAGCCCTCCATCTGCAAGAGAGCAATCAGGTCTCTGCCTCACCCCCCCACCCAGGAAGACCCCTGTCCCTGGGGTGGCCTCACAGGGACCCTCGGTCCCTGCCGGCCCCTCCACGATTCCAGCCCCACCTCGTGGCCTGGAGGTGAGGATGCTCAGCTAGCTCTGGTCACACACATCCTTGCACATACATGCAGCTCTGCTGGGGTGGGCATTTTGGGGAGCACTGTGCAGGGCAGCTCCTATCCCAGCTCACAATAAGCACCCCAAATGCACCAGCAGATGCACAGCAATGTAACTGCTGCCTCCCCGGCATTATCCAGTGCTTGCTGCCATTAATACAGTGAGATCTCTACATGCAAATTAACATTTAAGCTGCCCAGCTTGCACCAGGACGGGCAGCAGGACGCTGCAGCCCTCCTCCTGCTCGGAGACCCCATCCCTGTGCTCCACGCTAAGCAGGCGCCGTCCCCTGCCTGCACTGACGCGGGCAGCAGCCCCCGCCGCCCGCCAGCACTACTGCTTCCCGCTCCTCCCTGCGGCAGGCTCTGCGCCAGCCAAAACACTCGGGGACCCGGTGTCCCCGCAGGACTGGGGCTCTGCGAAGCTGCGGAGTTACCCGAGGGCAAGAGGAGCCGGCAGGCCAAAAGCTGTCGGGGCGAGGGGCTTTGCAGAGGCGAGCGATGCCGGGCCGGAGGCGAGGGCCAGACTACGGCTCCCAGCATGCTGCTCTCTTCCGCGGCATGCGAGAGGCCGGGGCACGCTGGGATGTGTAGCGCCATGCGCCACAGGTCATCGGCACGGGGAAACGGTTGTGGCCATGGCTTCCTCACGGCCCAGGGAGCAACTGCTCCTGCTCCCTCGCCTGCTGACAAGGTGGGGGACCCAAGCTGGCACGTCCCTCTCGAGCTTCCCTGATCGTCACGGGGGGTGCCACGGCCAAGACACTGTGCAAAGCAATGTGGATTGAAATGCTTTAATGCTTTGTTTTGCACTTGCTCCTGTTATGAAGTGTCCTGGCACTAGTGCCCAGTGGGGGACAGCCCTCGGGCTGCAGGCACGGTACAGCCTGGAGAAGCAGCAGCAGCCGGGGCTCTTCCTGTTCCTTAGCCCTGGGTGTATTCCTCAGCCCCAGCAGCCGCAGCGTGCCTGTGCAGGCTCAGCACAGGGCATGCACCTGCACTGCCGCTCTTCCGGGCTTGTGCTGGGACTGAGCTGCTGCACCCCAGCGAGCCCTGCATAGCTGGGGCTGCAGGTGCCTGTGTCCCCCATGCCCGGGGACTGGCTTCACAAGACACCACAGAGTAGGTCTGTGCCAGCCTGGCAGGGGCCATGGACACCGTGCACCCCTCCAGCCCTCCAGCCTCCCCCACACTGAGTACAGCTCCGTCCTTGCCCTGATGACTGGCCCCCCCACCCAGCACCCACGCGCTGACGGTGATCCCCCACTTGCACCCCATGCGTTGAGGCCATCCACCCTGCACCCACAAACTGGCCCCCCGCACCCATGCAGAGCCCCTGAGCCCCCCATTTCCACCCTATTCACACCCCCCCCCCACTCACTCCCTCTCCCCACTGTATGGGCTGAGGCCGCCCTCGAGGGGTTGCCTGGGGAGGGTGATCATGCCAGAGGGTTTGCATCCCAAGGGAGTGCCAGGGGAGGTGGGAACAGGCAGGGGCTTTGAGGTGCAGGACCCAGGCAGGGTGCAGAACAGATTGGGTTGCATGGCCAGGTTAGAGTGCAGGAGGGTTTGGGGTGCAGGACCCAGTTGGGCTTTGGGCACAGCTGGAGTGCAGGGACAGGCTGGGGGGCTGGCTGGGTGAGGCCAGGCTGTGCATTGCACCCTGTGCCCACTGGTTTCACAGGACCCAGCTGTGGGCATCACGGGCAGCTGAGGAAAGGGGACTCACCCCTGAGGACCTGCACACACAGTGGCACCACATGCCTCTCACCCTGCAGCCATCTTTGGGTGTTCCTGGGCGTTGGGGGGGCTCCTTGGGACTAGGTGAAGGGAGCAGCCACAACCTGGAGCTGTGGTCCAGCTCGAGCATGCCACTTCCATGGACTGGCTCCATCGTCCTCCCAGCCCAAGTCCATCCTTCCTTCCAGCTTGTACCCAGGGCCAGCATCATGCAAGGGCTGCAAAGCCCCAGCCTTTCCTACCCCACTGCTAGGCTTTTGCAGGCCAGTTCAGACTGGTGGAGGCAGCACGGGGAGCTGATCTGCTGTAAACGGACTCTGGTCTGCTGTAAACACTGGAGTAGCAAGCAGGGTTGGTGCAGACTCCACTGCAGTCGGCGTAAGCAGCTGGCAGCAGGAAACAACCCAGGCACTGAGCTTAATTGTGGGGGTCAAAGGCAATGTTTTCTTCCAGAGAAAACTGCTGCTGGCTGGTTTAGCAACAAGAAAAATACCAGGGCTGGGGGGGGGCGGCAGTTAAGTGGTAAGTGCTACTGGGACCAACCCACTGCAGGTGAAAGGGGGTTCACTGTTTTGGGGAACTGAGCTGAGCTGCACTCCCAGCCTGGGGTGTGCCAGAGCCAGGGCGTTAGTATACACCTGGTGCCATGGGCATCAAGGCGCCATGGGCACAGCTGGGACTCGGCAGGGAGGAGGTGAAGAGCCAGCCCTTCCTGAGCACGGTGCCAGCAGGTGAGCAGAGCCTGGGGTGACAGCGCTTTGGGGCTGGCTAAAGCATTGGGCCCTCCCCCAGCCATGTCCACAGGGTGATGGTGGGCTTTAGGGGCACCCACATCCCCAGCTGTAGTGACACCAGGTGGCCATGCCCTCTGTGGTCACAGTCCTCAGGGAACCAGGGGAGGGTGGGCTGGCATCTCCCAGGCAAATCCTGGCTAGAAAGGAAACCCCTGGAAAGGGCAAAGTTGGTTGAAGGTTTTTATAGCTCTCTCCCAAGCAGGGAAATGAGGTTCATGCTGGGAGTGTGGAAGCGCAGGTCCCTCCAGTCCACCTGGGCTTCAGAAACAAGGAGCATAGTGGCTCGCAAGCTGCCTTGGGGGCACAGCCCGTCCCCCATGAGGTGTCCCCGCACCATGGGGTCAGGGCCCAGTGTGCCATGCGGGCATCTCCGTCTCGCTCAGCGTCCTGGAGAGCTGCAGCTCCCCGGAGCCGCGTTTGGGGAGCAGGTGCATGCCTTCCCCTGGGGGAGCGGACCCCTCCTCAGTGGCATGGCTGCCCTCCTCCTCTTCCTCCTCCTTCTCTTCCTCACTCCCCGGGCAGAGGAAGCAGCAGGGGAAGGCTTTGCAGGAGGATGGCAGCAGCCCCCTCAGCCTGGCGGGGAGCCCATACGCCTGGCTGGCTTCGCCCCTCTCTCCATAGGGTTGGTGATCGCCTGCCCCAGCTTTCTGTGGTGCCAGGTCCGAGAGCAGCCCTCGCTCCTCCAGGGTTCCTGCAAGCAGGGTGGTGCGCAGTGAGATGGGAGCCCTTTCCTCTGGCTGCACCCTCCCGGTCCACAGCAGCCCCACGGCTGCCTGGAGGCAGAGCTAGTGGTTTGGGGACAGTCCCATAGCCAGATCCAGCCCTCAGAGCAGGAGCTTACATAGAGAACCTAGAGCAGCCCCTCACCTGAGACCGTGTTCTCCAGGAAAAATGACAAGAAGCCAGTTAAGAAGACAGGCACCATGAGCAGGGAAAGGAAGAGGAGGTCCAGGGGCACCCAGCCTGCAGGGACAGGGCCAGAATCACCCAGGATGTCCCAGCCCAGCAGTGGGGAAGGGGCAGGAGCTGCCATGGCAGATCCAGGAGTTGGAGAGTGAGCTGCCTGCTGTCGTGAGCCAACCCAGACTTCCAGGACATCGGAGACATGTGGTCATCATGCCATGGGGCCCAAGGCTTTGCCTTGCCTGGGGAATGTCCCCGCTACCTGTGGCCAGGTGAGCCGGACCCGTGCCGAACCACCGCGGCACCAGCAGTGCCATGAACATGGTGAAGCCGACGATGAAGATGTTCCTCCCCGAGTCGATGTCCGCGTACTGGAAGTAGGAGATCCCCGTGCCCACAGCCACAGCATAGGTGACACAGAGCACCCCTCCTGTGAGGAGCAGGAGTCAGGCAGCACCAGGCAGGCTGCAGGCACTGCAGTGCAGGGGAAGGGCAGGCTACCCACCATGAACTGCCAGCGGGATGCGGGTGAGGAACCCTGCCAGCCTCGGGGACATGCCCAGCACCACGCACACCAGCGCACTTACTTGCACTGAGAGGCGAGAGCCAACCTGGCAGAAAGAAGGATGGGAACATGAGGATGGGGAGCATCACCCCCCACTCTGTTGCCCCCCATCCTGCCATACAGACCAGCCTTTCCCAGTGCTGGCTCAGTGACAGCCTGGGTGCTACAGGTCCCCCACACCTCCTGCTCCATTGTCTCTCCATCCCTTGCCGACCTTCCTCCCCCCACCCCGGGCATACCTGCGTGAGGCCGGTGGTGCAGGTGTTGGCGATGCTGGCGGCCGTACCCCCCGGGGTGCCCAGCAGCCCTGCCAGGAGGCTGCCCAGCCCTTCTGTGCAGAGTCCCCGGTTGCAGGCGTCGGGGGGCAGCCGGGGGGCTCGCAGCAGCCTGCCGCACAGCACATAGCAGCCCACCGAGTTCATGCTGCAGCCAATGGCCATGGCGATGCCCACTGCCAATGCCTGGGGGGTGAGCAGTGGCCACCCCCACTCGCCTGCAGTGGAAGGAGAAGGGACAAGTGGTAGAGGCCCTGGCCGAAGGCAGATGGCTGCACCCAGCCCTGCCGCACCCCACCTGCGTAGGGGATGTGGACCCAAGGGGCATGGAAGGTGCTGTTGGCCCAGGACAGCTGTGCCATGGCCAGGTCTAGTGATTCCCAGGGGACGTGGAGGTGGCTGAGGATGGCACAGACGATGCAGACACCAGCAAACGGGAGCAGTACCTGCAAGGCAGCAAGGGGACCCTCAGCAGGGGACCCTTCTCTCCTACCTGCCCTGGCCAGCACCTCGTCTGCTGTGCCTCAGACAGCAGGTCCTTGTCCTGTCACCTCTCCCAAGGAGCCATGCCACATCTCCCCTTACCACTGCGGGGAACGTCTCAGGCTCTGCTGCTCCAACACCCTCGAGCACAGGTCCCCTGTGCTCCCTCTGGAGCACCCATGCCCTGGGAGCTGCACCAGGACTTCTCAACCCTGCCTCTGCTCCCAGCACCCAGTTCTGCTCCAGGGCCACCACGTCTCACCTAACCCCACACCAAAGAGTCAGGCTCGCAGAGAACCCTGAGCACAGCAGAGGGAGCAGGGACAGACAAGCCACAGTACCGAGAATGTGCGCAGGGTGGGGACAGATGGCTCTATGGAGCTGCCCCAAGCCTGGGGCCAGGCGCAGAAGGGCAGGCGGCAGGACCCCAGGTGCTGGGAGAAGGTGACAGCAAGGAGCATGAGCCTAGGAAAGGGAGCACAGGTCACCATGCAGCATCATGGCGATGGGGCCCCAAACATGTGCCATGCACTATGGGGATGCCCCATTCCTGTCCCCATGGTGAAGGGAAACCCTGGAGGCTGCACACCAGTGTGGTCCCCGGGCTCACGTACAGCAGCGCTACCCCCCAGTTAGTGGAGCAGAAGAAAGCGGCCTCCTTGTATGCGGACAGCCCAATGATGGAGAGGCTGGGGGCCAGGACCATGGGCCCACAGTGCCGGGCTGCCCACCCGCACACGCCAGACAGTCCCAGTGCCAGCTGAACCAGTCCAGAGACCAGCACAGCTCCAGAGACCTACAGGAGAAAAGGACGGGACCCATGGGGCAGGATACATGAAGAGCAGCCCAACACCTTCCCTTGGCCACACTCCCACCACCCCAGTAGCATCACTTGTTCCTCATGCTCTGCTCACCCCAAGCCCAGGGGAATATATGTACCGACATGCACCACGATCTCCATTGTCTTTGCACATCCCCTTGCGTCACCCTGATTCATGGCAATCCCCAGGAGGGCTGGAAAAGGGACTGGGGGTGCAAGGATGCAGGTGACAACTGGGGCGCTGGTGGAGCAGGAGGATGGGGACCCCAGCCCAGCACAGAAGCACCCACCTCTCGCAGCGAGGCAGCCCAGCTCCCTGCAACGGTGCAGTGCGGTGCAGGGCACACACTGGCAACAGCTGTGCCTGGAAGGGAATTTCAAAGGGATGTGATGCACGTGGACACTGGGTTCCTGAAGCTGGGTCCAAGAGCACACAGGGCAGAGGCTGCTGGCTGGAGAAGGGCCAGGATGCCAGCATAAGCCCTGACCCTGGGGAAGCAACCAGTAGGGTGCTGTGCACCATCACCAGAGGGGCCAGCAGGCAGGAGCCCTTGCTACCCCTCATCCCCACTCAGTGCACCGGGCACCTTGTCACTTGCCATTCCCCTGGCATGGGCATGGCCCGGGCCCCATGGGACGCAGGCTCCAGGGCTGTACTCACCATTCCTGTCCGTGCTGGCACTGAGGGATAGGTGAGAGCTCAGCACCATGGCAGGGACCAGGTACTCGAAGGATGGAATTTGAACCAGTGGCAGCCTGGGGAAGGGGACAGCAAGGGCACATTAGGGAGGAAAGAGGGGACAGGGCTGCTCCCAAAGCCCTGACTGCCAGAGGAGTGAGGGATGAGAAGGGAAGGAGATGAGAGCCCCAAAGTTGGAGGTGGTCACCCCATATCCCAAATGTGCCCTAGCACATCCCAAGCGGCAGCCCATGGGATGTGCGCAGAGGTCAGGGGCTTTGCCAAAGCACACACCCAGCCCCTGTGTGGGGCGCGGGCAGCACAGGCACCAGATGGTCTGGAGAAGCTGCATATGGTGTTGGAGCAAGGCAGTGAGGAGCTAGACGGAAAGCACAGCAGTTTTGCGAGAGGAATGTGTGAGAGAAGAGGATGCAGTGATGGCAAGGAGAGGACAGCAGTGCAGAGATGCCGGGCAAGGGGTTGACCTCATGCTCCTTCCCACCTCCAGCAAATCCTGTCTTCCCATAGCCTAGGAGGGGCCATAAACATGCCCTGCCATGGCATCACCCTCCTCCTGGTGACAGCTGCATCCCCTTCACCCCCTTTGCTCACCGGCTCCCCAGGGTGGTCTGCAGCACCGTGGAGATGCCACAGGCAAAGAGGCTGCGTGCCAGTAGCTCACTGGTGGCCTGGGCATGGGATGGCTCCTCGGGCAGGGTGGGTAGCAGGAGGAGGTGGAAGATGCAAAGCAAGGAGGCCTGCACGGCCAGGTGCTGTGCGGGGAAGAGAGGAGTTGGTCACGACTCTGCAGCGCCTAGAGCTGCAGCTCCCTGTGCCCAGCCCCCCTGAGTGGATGCACACTCACTGATACGCCCCAGGCAGTGCCCACCACTGCCCACTCCCTTCCCAGCACACCCTGGCCAGAGCCCCACACACCCTTTGCCTGGCAGGATGCAGCCCCTGCCCTGCCACCTGTGAGGATCCCAGTCCTCTCCCCATCTCTCTGGCTGCTCACCCTCGTCCCCCCTTACTTGAAGGGCTAAGCAACAGCTCAGCATCCAGGAGCACATCTTCTGTGGGGAGCAGGATGAGAGCACAGGGCTCCAGGCACCAGGCGCTCCACAGTAGCCCCCATTCATGCTGCTGCCTCCCTGCAGCGCTCCCTGTTTGCAGTGCAGAGGGGGTGGGCAGGATCCCACCCCCCCACACCCCCGAGGGCTCCTCACAGCCCACACACAGCTGAACTTCCACCTTCTGCAGGAGCTGCCCCAGGGTTAGCCATTAACTTGAGTTGGTAAGTAACCTGCCCTTGTGGCCAGGAATGCAAGTGTCACCCTGGGTTGTCACCACAAGGGCCAGGTGACAGCCACCCACGGCCAGGACACTGGACACTGTTACAGTGCCAACTGCCCACAGCCTGGATCCCATCCCTGCCTCTTGTGGTACACAGCAGACACCCCTTCCTTCATGTGCTCAGAGCATCCCCACCAGCAGCATCCTCCGGCTCCCGTGTGCCCTGCCCATGCTTTTTCCTCCCCAGCATGGCATCCCCCTGCACTCCTGGTCCAGCCCTTCCTCACCATCAGGCCCCAAGGAACCCGTTAAAAGCTGTGCAAACCCCCACAGGTCCTGCCATTCCCCACTGAGGGCACTGTGCTCACACCATGAGGGTCTCTGATGGGTGTCTACTATGTCCCCTATGCTCCTAGGAGGAGGGCACTGAATCCTGCCACAGGAGAAGGATGCCAGGGACAAGAACTGCCCTGCTTGGCTAGGAAGACTCCCAAGGGAGCACAGGCAGGGGATGCTCGTGTTTTTGTCACAGGGCAGAGGTGGCTGTGCCAGCAACCACAGCAGCGACCCTGCCAAGCCCTTGCCACTCAGGGCTCACTCATTAACTGGACAGACTTTGGAGAGCAAAGAACGGTGGAGACCATGCATTCCCCACATTCCCAAGGATGAGGAACCTCCTCTCTCCCACTGCCCCTGCCTCCCCCAGGCACCAGACCCGATGTCCCTCCTGTCACCAGAGAGCTTGGTCCCTCTTGAGCCCTGCAGGACAGACCTCACAGTGCACCTGGGCTCACTTGCAGCACCTAGGATTTGCCCTGTGCAGTGGCTCAGAGAACAAGCACAGATGCATCCATGGAGCACCATACTGGGGCAGGCATGCTGCCAGCACAGAGCAGCTCAGCAGGACAAGGCAGATGCACAGCAAGAACTACTTTTATTGGAAGAGATTTGCATCTACAAAAGAGTGAAAAACAGGTGTAAAATCCACAGTAAAAAGAAGGGGCACGATGAGCTGGGCTGGTCAGCAAGACAAGGTGCCTTCTCCCCACCCCGAGGAGCAGTCAGGCACTGTTTGCTCACAGCCACAGACAGCTGGGCTTTGGGATGGGGGTCACAGAGCACCCCAGTTTCAGAACACCCAACACAAGCAGGATAAGGAAGCTCAGCCTTAACCACACTTCACCACCTCCAAGCTCAGCAGGGCACAACCTTTCCCTGGGGCACAGCCACATCAGGATCCCCTCGTGGTGTGACCCTTGCGCCTCCCCAAGAAGTGGCCTGGCAGCCCCCAAGGGGAACTGCTGCTTATGGCCAGACAGCTTAGGCTGCTCACTCCCCCCTCCTTTGACCTCCTCTCCCCTCACCCAGGCACCCCACCTCCTCCTGGAGCACCCCACCACTCCACTGGGGTCACTGCCCCAGCCCCTCCACCCTGCACACACAACCCCAGCATCCTACATCCCACACACCACCTCTGCCCAGCACCACAAAGAGCCACCCGCTCGCTGTAGGAAGAGGTACAACATCTCCCTTGCCCTAGCACCCCCGCCCAAGGGCACCCCATTTCTGCCCTCCAGCTAGCAGCTTCCCACCCCAGCACTCCAACAGCAAGCCAACTCCGCCCCAACCTGTCCCAGCAGCCCCCAAAGTGAAGGATACCCCTGCCCTGGGTGGGGGGACACAAATGCTGGTTTGGAAGTAACACAGGGGCCTGCAGCCCCATGCAGCCCCAGGGATCAAGGGTCCTAGCAGTGCAAGGAAGTGAGTTGTGCCACACTAGGAGGGAAGGGGAAAGGGGCTGCTGCCCTGTGCTCCTAGCTGGGAAAAATGAAGCTCTTGATTCTACCAAGATCCATGGCAGTGTGCAAGGAGCACTGCCTCAGCCCCAGGGGGTGCAGCCAGTCCTTGCGGTTGGGGGCTGCATCCCATGCGGGGCCTGCACTGGCTGAGCAGGCATGGCAGTGGAGTGCTGGAGGAGCCGGAAGCATGGCGAGTCCGAAGGTGCCAGGCTGATGGGGGGCTGCAGTGGGGGCAGTACGGTTAGACCTCTCACAGGTGGTGGGTACTCTCCGGAAGGGGCCTTGCGGGGTGCTCCTATGTTGGGCTAGATCAGGTGCCTTTGGATAGGACAGAGCCGTCATCACACTGCTCCACAGGTAGAGCGCAGTTGCTGTGACACCCCCACGACATGGCTCCTTGGTCGTCTCGTTCTCCCCCGGGCAACGGGTGCTGCTGGCTGGGGAGACGTCAGGCAGCTTGGGCTGGGGCTGGTCAGGGGCTGGGGCTGGCTGGGCATCCAGCTGGCAGCTGCCCTCCTCAGAGAACAGCGCAGGCCGGGGGGCTGCAAGGCTGACACTCCTCATGCACACAGACCCGTGCACCACTGTGACGGAGGCGAAGACAGCAGCGAAGCCGGTCAGGTACACCACGCCCAGGAGGCAGGCCAGCTGCAGAGAAGCCAACTGTTAGCCCAGACCCCCCAGCAGCACCCCACAGCCAGCCATGACCCAGCATGGCCATGCATCGACCCAGCAGCCACGATGGCAAACAGCATCACCAGCACCAGGGCTGGATGGATGCAAGGGAGCAGGCAGCCACACTGCTAACAGTGGGTGGCACACAGCCTGTTCAAAGCAGGGCCTAAATATCACAAACCAAAATGCCCCAGCTAAAATGTAGCAGTTCCTGTTTAAATCCCCAGCCAGCACCCAGTTCCCTCCATGCCACCACCATGACCTTGCACCATGACTTGTGGGGCTGCGGTCCAGCACAGGGCAGACTAACCCAGAACCAGGCTGCAGTGCCTCAGGCAGCAGAGCTGCAAATCATCATCTTCTGGCTTCTGACAGCTTCCCTTTTCAACAGGGAATAAACCAAGCTGCTGCTCCCAGAGGAAAAGAGGGTCCTGCTCCAAACTCATGGCCTGCTGGGTCCCACGTTCTTGCCAGTAGCTGCTGTCCCATGCCCTTACCTTTACCACTTGCTGGTAGAACTGGCCCAGCACATGCTGCCACATGGACTGCTCCATGAGGACACAGAGATCCGTGTAGGTGAACCAGCCACGCCACATGCCCTGCTTTTCTGCCACGCTGCAGGAAAAAAAGAGAATGGTGGATGTGGCACAGACCTTCCCCATCAAAGAAGCTTCAGCCCAGGCAGGCTTGGAAAAGACCCTGCACAAGGTCTGTGGAAGGGAGCTGCAGAGCCTAGCAAAGGCTCACAGGTACCCCAACCTCTTATTTCACTGCAGCAGGGCTAGCTCTGAGCAGGGGCAGAGGCAGGGCTGCAAGGTAGATGAAAGGCTCACCCCTACCCCACAGACCTACCGTCCTTCCAGCCAGCTCAGCACTTCAAACAGCTCCCGGGGATCTGTGTAGAGACTCCAGTCCTGTGGGGACAGCAGTGAAAGGTCAGCGCAGTCTGGGCAGGCCACCCAGCACCCAGACACATCCTTCTCTATTCCTTCATGGGAGTACGTGGGGGAAAAACAGAAATCCAGACTCCCCTCAACGCCTCCTTTCCCCCACTCTGTGAAATAGCTGGCCGCAGCGACAGGCCCACTTACAATGGCACTCAGGAAGTTCATCTCCAGTGTGTTCATGGTCTGGACGTCCACCTTTCCTGCTGCTCCCCACTCGTCGTTGAACACCTCCTCTTCCTCACCCTCATCATACAGGTACTTACTAGCAACCATCTAAAAGCAGCACAGAGGACAGGATCTCAGTCCCCCCTGCACTCCTCCAGGCCTCCCTCCAACCCAGTGACCCCCCCAGCCCACACTGCTCACCATGGAGATCAGGAAGAGGTCTGAAGATGAGATCTGCTGGAGGTATTCAGGGTTCCGGTGCCGGAGTCTCTCAATGTAAACCAGTGCCAGCATCATGGAGCAGGGCGAGATGCAAGCTTCCCTGTGGGACAGGGCAAGAACCAACCCGAATGTTATCTGTGTGCTACAAACATCCCAGCCACCACGGCACAACTTGGCTGCTCCCTCCCCAGGTGGGTAGTGGGGAGGTTTAGTAAATAAGACTGCTAGATACATCCCAGCCTTGCCAGCTCCATGCTGGCTGTCCTGAGCTACAGCCAGAGAAAGTGCAGGGGATGCAGGGTGGAGAGTAGAAAGCCCTGGCTCCTGTTCCCAGGCACAGCCAGCTCCAAAGTGAGCAACCCTGCCTGCAGCCAGGCACACTGCAAGAGCTTGGATGCCAAGAGCAGACCCAGGCTACCCAGTGAGCTGCAGATCCAGCCAGCACAGACTCCCAGTTACAAGAGCACCCCTGCACCCCAGAGAGCAGGGCCAACCTGAAGCGGGCCTGGCTGTGTCAGGAAGCCAATATGCCTGCTATCCTTGCCACCTGCCCCAGCTCCTCTTTGACACTAATCAGGCCTAAGAGACAAAGCCAGTGCTGGCTCAAGGGACAGAAGTGAGTCATAGGTGAGACCAAAGCTCCCAGTTCTGACACAGGACATGAAGGGACAGCTTTTGCTTCTTACCGAGACACGTGAGAGACATATTTCTTCTGGAGTCTACGGATAGGGCTGGGAGCCACATTCTGCAGCAACTCCACAGCAATATCTAGGGCAGAAAAGCAGCAAAAGGGCTTAGTGCCATATGGCACAGTCCACCCCCACCTTCCCCTTCTCCCCACAAGCCCATTGAGTCTTGGTGTTTGCTCAGCCCCTCAAGTTTAATTTAAACTATGAAGGCAGGACAGGCCTTATCAGAAGTCAGGGATGAGGGAGGAACAAACAAATAGGCAGGACAGCCAGACCAAAGCAGGAAGAGGATGTGAGTGTCCAAGGCCCAGCGGCAGTGCCAGATCCAGATTAGCACGTCTGCGTCACGGGGAGTTACCAGCAGTCAGCTGCACAGAGATGCTAACACCCTCCCCTCACCCCGCAGGACCTCAGGCAACCCTTTCGGAGGCTTTCTAGGACCTGATGTCAACACCACGTCTTCCTAGTCCTTTGCTCCCCTCCAACCAGCATTGTGCTTCTCCAGAGCTCATCAGCACTCCAGCTGATCCAGCTTCTACCGCACTACACCACAGCACACCACAGCCCCAGTGCCTCTGAGATGGTGATGGACAATATATTCATGTGACCAGGAGCCCGAAGGCACTAACAGGGTATGAAAGCGGAGATATGGTATAACTGCAGCTCATCTCAGCCCAGTTCCCCTGCGCTCACAGACATGCCTCAGCATCCAAGCACTGAAAGGGCCAGAAACTGACGGATGCTGGCAGATGGCTTCAGCAGCTCCTGTCTCGCTTCTCAACACGATAGGACCAGCTGGGAGCATCCCAAACAGCACTTCAGTCTGGTGCTTGCCAAGAAGTGTTTTCAACAGGCAATTCCAGCTCCATTTTGCCACTGAACCCTTGGCTGACAGAGTCAAGAGCAGAGCTCATCCCAGCAGCCATGCGTTTCCAGCTCCCAGGAGAAGCATCACCACATCACCTCTTCTCTCCACATCCTTCCTTTCTATGTGTCTCCAGCAACTAAGAGAACAGCTGCAGTCCCACAGGAATTATCTGCCCAACAACAGCCACCAACCTCCCCAGGTCATTCAAGCTACACCACCGCTAGGATCCACAGCCAGGCAGACAGAGCTCCAGCCACCCACTGGCAGCTCCCAGCCTCTCACACTGCTGCTGCTCTCTCTGCCCTGCTTGGCCACCCTTGTGCTACCACACCAGCCACTGCAGAGGCAGCAGCGACGCCCCGAGTGATGGAGAGTACATGAGGTCCCCCAGGCTCTGTCCCGATGTGAAATCTAATTCTTCAGCCCACAAATCCAACCCATGACAGCGTGTCCTGTCCTAGAGGGCATGGAGAGCAGCTGATCACTGTCCCCATCTCACAGTCACAACACGCTGAGGGTAGTTATGATTCTTCCTTTCCAGAAAGAACAAACTCAGTTTTCAACCTCTTTCCTCAGCCAGCCAGCCTCCTGCAGCTGCCCCTCAATGCCAAAGACCTTTCCCAGCTCCTCCTGCTACTCCGGACTCTCCCCACAATTGCCTCCATCTCACCACATAGCAACGGCACAGCTGTACTAAGACAGGTGCCATAGCCCTAGGTCCCGTTTGTTTGACAGCACCTGATAGCAGCTGGTGAAGGAAGGCTGTAAGAGCAGATAAGCCGGCAGAGATATTCTCTGTGTGTCGCTCCCGCCCCCAGCTGCTGGAGCCGAGGCATTTCCTGACTGCAAGACAGTCTTTATAGTTAATAGCCCTCAACAGAGTCTTCTTCCATGAATGTGCCCTTTGAACTTCCAACACTGGTAGCGTCCTGTGGAACAGTCCCATCTCATACTGGGGTGTGACGCAAGCCCCAAAGACGAGCCACATACCTCCCTTGCACCGCCCGTGTCAGAACTCGTGACTCCCAGCAGCGCCCAGGCAGCCCAGCCCAGCCCAGCCCCATCACCGCGCACCCAGCATCCCCCTCCTCGCTGAGGTACATCACACACAGCCTCTCGACTACTTCAGACCTTTTCCCCAAATTTATCACAAGAGTTTTGAATGCAAGCACGCTTCCCCACCCACTCAACGCCCCCTGCAAGCTGTGTGAGCATGCAGCTAATGGAAACACTAACACGACGGAACTGTGAAAACCCTCTGGCAGCCCTTGACAACTCCTCTCTACCATCACCTGCACCAGCTCCTCAGCCTCAACCCAGCTGCGTCATTCTGCTCCCCAAAACACTGGTGAATCAACAGGAAAAAAAAAAAAGGATGTGATCCAGACAAACACACAGCAGAAACTTGTCCCCTTGGTGCTCACAAATGGAAGTTAAACAAACTCCCCAGTACTTTGCACAGCACAAGAAGTTGTCCAAGACACCTCCCATCAGGGACAGGGACACAGCCTTCACTGCCAAGGAATTTGCAAGCAACCTAAAGGACTCTGCACACTAACAAGGTGCCAAAAACGCAGCAGTGGGCCAGAAAGGGCAATAAAACAGAGAGCAGGAGCCATGAGGCTCTGGCACCCTGCCCACTGTGCTGCGCAGAGTGAAGAAGGCTGGGCAGGGGTGGGATTTGGCACTGGAGAGGGAGCGGGTGACTTGTTGGTCTCAGCCCCTGGGCTACTTCCAACCCCCTTGACTCAGCATTCCCATCTGGGGACACTCGGCAACCCACCTGCCATGGGGCTGGAGAGATTATCCAGGCTGCAATCTTTGTCCCAGCCATAATAGAGACGCTTCCGCACTCTCTCGCTCAGCTGCTGGTGCCTGGGCAGGAACTGCAGGCAGACATGGGGGAACGTGAGAAACGCCCCGAGCACTCCCGTACCGGGTTCTCCACCCCAACCCAGCTTAGGGGTACAACGGGCCCGGCAGGGCCCCCAGGAATTCGGCCGGGGCCGGGGTGTGCCGTCACACGGGGCTCTTCAGGGCCTAGGATTAAGGGGGCAACACCCCAGGGGCCCGCGGAGGTGCGGGGCTGAGGACAGGCTGCGCCGGCGACACCGGGTACCACCAGGGGTGCGCCGGGGGCGGGGGGGAGACGGACGACTCACCGTGAACTCCTGGAATCCGCTGAGGGAGAAGGTACCCTCCTCGTCCAGCAGCAGCCCGTCCAGCTCCATCCCGCCCCCGGGGCAGGGGCTGCCGGGTCCCCTCCGGGGTGCCGGGCTGCTCCGAAGCCGAGGCCGGGTCCGGGTCCGGTGACCGGAGCGGGGTGGCGGAACCGCTGCTAGGCCGAGTCCCGCCTCCCGCCTTCCTCTTCCGGTGCAGGGAGCGTGGCCGAAATCGCGCCTGCGCAGAGCGCCCCACCTCCCCGCCCGCCCCGGAGCGCACGCGCG